GCTCTTATTTATCTACCATTTATATCCATTACATATCTTTCAATTAATTGTTATTGTGCTCTGTGAGGATGAATTCAGAAGATACTCATTAGATGGAATAAAACCTACAGAGGCCTAGAATGGCAATTTTCCCCCTATTTCTTTCAGTAAGTTAATTAGACTTAACGTATAGTGACTTGAATACTTTAGAATAAGTCTCTCGATTATAATAATAAATTATTGAGCTTACACTCCCAATGTTACGGTGCGTCAAAACCAACAAAATTTACATTAAAAAAATATATATTTCATTTTTTTAAAATTTATCTATTTACCTTATTGTTATCCTTGGGGCTGCTCAGGGATAAAATTCCTGGTCCTCCGCAGATCTCAGCAAAGAAGATAACAAACAGTGATACAAAAACAAAAAATACATTGAAACACAAAAAGCGGTACTACTGCCATTTATTTATTTTTTATTTATTTTCATAGGAAAAATCTCAAAATACCATCTTTAAAAACATTATTCATAAGAAGTTAACTAGATTTGTCTCTGGGCTAAAACATAACTACAGAATCAATACAAATAAAACAAAAATTAAAATTAAAATAATAGTCAAAAACACTTAAGTATGCAAATACAAAGCAGATACAGTAATAAATACAGTTATTGTAGAATACTTAGGCCTATACATACAATAGGCATACACGCAGGATGAAGTAACGTACGTAATGAATCAGGGGCGGATTTAGAGGGGGGGCTAAACAGGCTTTAGCCCCCCTAAAATTTCATAGCCATTTCTTTGTAACTGCTTTTTGAATGTCCAAATTAAAATATTGTTTAATGTTTTCTTCACACACATCATATTTATGGGCTAAACATTTTACAGTAGTTGTTTTTCAGTGATAAAATAAAAATGAAATACGTTTTTTAACCGATCAGCGGACAAAAAACTTAGCTAAGAAAGCTGCTTTTGCCTGCCTTCATGCTCAAATCTCAAAGCAAAGGCCGTTGTGTAGCGGTCTCAACGTTGTATAATACACTAAACTTTTCGTGTCGCGCGGGTTTGTTCTTGTCTAGTCTTTCCTTGATTGCTTGCGGTCAGAGGTATTTGAATGTAAATAAACTAATAATTTAATTTTTAGGCACCTTGCCTTCAAAATTAGAAGGGAAAAACTCATTATTTTTTTCAACAGGCGGGGGATTAGAAGACACGTACATCTCTTCATAAAACTTACGAGTTTCGTCAAGAATTTGATTTGTTTTGTGATATTTAGGTTAAATAGACGAGCGGTACTGGGTAAAGACAACTTACAAGGATACTTTATTCATCCAACTACGAGGAAATTTCATGGCTGTATACAACAATATGGAACAGCACAAGACTATTACTAAAAGTGATGATTTTAGTAATAATAAAACTAATAATATAATAATAATAATATTATTAATAATAATAATAATAGTTATGATATATTCGAATTAACTTGTTATTAATAAATACTGGCCACCCACACTAAAAACCCTCTATCTCTGATGTCTCTCCTTCCTCTGGGGAGGAAGGAGAGACAATGGCGTTCTGTAGAGACCTGCGGTGGCCTCAGTCTAACGCTACGTTCAATGTAACAGTTGGCAATATCTGAATGAATGGGGGCAGTGCCGGATTAACCATTAGGCAAATAAGGCACAAGCCTTGTGGGCCAGGCGAAAATGATAGGCCATCAAAAGTTGGGCTGCAATATTATTTACACTCTATTTTCTGGTATTACGGTATTAGTCCAGAAAACTCGGAGACATTCAATGGGGTCCATTCAATTAACATGTTTGGGCCATTTCCAAAATGTGCCTTGAGGCCAGACGATGCTTAATCCGGCACTGGAAGGGGGTGACTTACATCAGCCCATATTGGACAGAACTTCTTGCACAACCGTTCGCGGTAGACCATCCTCCGTGCCCTCCTCACCTGTCTATCTGTCCTATCCCTATCAAGTTGATTTACATTCCCACCCCAAGCCAATAAGCAATACCCCCACACAGAACCAATTACTGATAAATAAATCATATGCAGAATTTGACTACAGACATTGAATTCCCAGTTCTGTTTATTTCCTGTATATATCCAGAACTATCATTTCCCTTTATCAACCCAATGAGCATCATCAGCAAATTTTACTGCGAGACAATTTGTTTGATCAGTTGTTCTGTAATCGGCAGTATATACTGAAAAGAGGAAGGGAGCTAACACTGTACCCTGTGGTGTGCCAGTATTAGTAAAAATTAAATCTGAAATAACTCCAGAACTTAGTCTAACAAACTGACTGCGGTTTACCAGAAAATTAAATACAAAAACAATAAAGGTTTCTTGCTTCAAGCAAGGTATCCATTCGTAAAGTCTTATGAAAATAAGCCTATTCAAGTAAACATAAAAGTGTCGGGGATCAGGACATACCTTTGACTTTAGATTGACAAAGATTGAAATATGTTGAATACAGACACAATGTATACACAGAACTAGTTCTAGAGTTAATGTAAATATGTATCAAAATGATATATTTATGATATATACACATATATATTTATATACACATTATGCGTAAATAGGTATTTAGTAAAATGAATAAAATTTAACGAAAATATGGAAGAAGCATAGGAAGAAAGAATAGGAAAGAAAGCTGCTGAAATGTTTACCGAAAATAAACAATTAAAAGAACCCTGACATGTTCGTGGTTGTCATCTTGTTTTATTATATGCTCTCCAACTAAAACTACCACATATATCTTATATTTCATTATCATATGCTCTCCAACTAAAACTTCCACATATATCTATATTTCATTGCTAAACATTTTCATTTAATTTCAGGTAACATTTATTTCGATAATAAGGCAACAGATACAATTATAACAGTACAGAAAAAAAAATGACAAAAAACGGGAAAAAAACATTATTATCATTGGGTCCTAGCTAGAAGTAGGTACTTGTCTCGCTAGGACCCAGTAAAGAGGTAGAAAGAAAATAAATTTTAAAAAAAACATTACGGCAAAACCAGTATATTTGTAAAAGGGCAATTAGCCTGGATATATAATTTTGTCAATAAAAATCTTTGGAATAGAATGACCATAAACAAGATTGAAATAAAAGCACTTAAAAAGTTTTAAGTGTCATTAATACTCAACAGATTGATCAAAAGTAAAGGCAAGTTTATTAGTATCAGGGACCTTTTAATTAACACTGATATAACATGCATAAATAGAAGGGTAAAACTATATGGAAGATTAAAGAAAAAGTAAAAATAAACAAATAGACATAAAATTATTAAGATACTGCACAATTAAAATCTAAAACAATGTAAAGACCCTTTGTAAGGGTTTTATTACTAAAATCATAATTAGGCCTACTGTTCATATTTACCATAATCATTGTTATTTGTATTAAATATTATTATTGTGGAAATTGTCAATATTGTGTAAATATTTTTCAAAAGTCAATGCTAAAAACCATTAAGGTTAAGCAGAGGTTTTCTACATCTACAGGTTCCTGCTCCGAGGTGTGGAAATAAGGGAAATTGCAGAAAATTTGAGAGCAAAGTTGTGTGTAAGTCAGAGGTGGTCTGTGTGACAAACACCAGGGGTGGGTATAAAAATGTGTGACAAGGCCAAATTATTACACATTGAGGGCCGCTCGCAAACTTCGGAAAATTTATAATGATAATTTGACAATTCCTATGTGCTTATAAAACCCTTCAAGCAGTGCATTGATTCTATAACAACACTTTATGCAGTTTTAATACGGTATTACTATTTACAGTTGATAGACCGGGCCATATTAGGCAGGCCGCCATACATACAGTTTTAAAATTAAATTTAAATAAAAAATTGCTGTCAGGCCACATGTGGCCCGTGGACGCTACCAGACTTATTCCAGCTTCACTGTACATTATGGTTTTTCCATAGATATTGAGTGACCCTGCAAAATATAATGGTGACCATATTTTGGGTTACAACCTATGGTTTGAATACCCATATCATAAATGATGTTTACTTGTGCATAAGTTTTATACAGTGAAAAGTCAGTCATCTACTTGATGATCAACGTCATTATAATGTGGCCAAGATTCTTGAAAAAGAAACAATTATTGTGATGAGGGTTTGCCCACAACCAAAGATGACTGCAAAGTGAGCGTCCAAAGACAGTTGTAAGGCTTGGATTATGAATGCGAACAAAGCACCTGCAATGAAAAATCATTATATAAATAATTGACAAAATTAAATTATAATGTGTAAATAGCCCTTTTCATTCATTATTTTATTTAAACACGATAACATTTCAACACAAAGTTTGTTTTACAAACGGTCGTGTGAACACAAGTAACATTACACAATTTCGATTTAAAATTCAAAACAGAGAGCGATCAGCTCAAACCTCAAAAGGAAGTGTCCTGTGTCCATTTGGACGGGTCAATGTACAGTCTGACTTAAAAAATTCCTACAAAAGCTTTTTAAACAGTTTTTGATACTATGGATGTTAGGAATAACATACTGCCATGAATGATATTGAAGTGATGGTACTCAGCGTTCTCAGTAGTTATTTAATACCATTTTAAGTAGCAATAATGCAAATTTATTTCAACCATGTTTTTTAAAAAAAGTTAAATAAAAAAACTTTATATATTGATAGAATATACATATTAATGTATTAATTAATTCCATCCACTTACACAACTCAAAATTTAAAAGATAATCCATATTTTTTTTATATATGTAAAATGGTTTTGTGATAACGTAATTTTTTTTTTTTTTTTAATTTCGCCTTATGTATTTTTTTATTTAGTAGTTAAGATTTCAAGTGTCAGCAGGAAAAATTTCATGTATACTTCATTGTAAACGTGACAATAAAGAAAATCTTATCTTATCTTATCTTATCTATTATATTGTGATTGAAAACTGAACAAGAAAAATACTTACTGCTAATAACACCAGCTGTGATTGGTCCAAGAAAACCAACAATTAATATCAGTATTGGCAGAAATCTAGCATAGCGATGTTTACGTAACGCAAAGAATGCAATAGCTGCTGCAACAGAATGTACCACAAATGACGACAACATATACCATAAAAATGAGAACTTCCATATATCTGTTAAGGAGAAAAAATATTGATTAAATTATTTATTTCATCACTTCCAATTCACACAAACACATATCCCCAATTTACACAGATAAAAACGGGATAAACCCAGAAAAAACATGTCGTATAATAGTGCTATTGGTAGTTTACTCTTTGGAATAATAATGTTAATGATAAAGGACACTTTGTGTGTACTGGACTCAACCTAACCAACAAGGCCTCTGTGGTGGAATTCGTAAGATAATTCGTACGAAAAACTAAAGGTCCCGAGTTCGAGTCCCGGTGGAGGCAAATGTGTATACACACATATATACTACTATATTGTCTTATAGTTATGCTAACTGCAGAATATTCCACAGCGATCTCAATATATTGCTTTGTAGATTATGACAGGCTACCATCAGCCAAGACTGGTCGAACAGGTTCCTGTACACTGTCTGGCATACACCTAAATTTGATACAGCGTACCAACCGCTACCTTTGTGACATGCTCAGGTCCCAACGACTCCCATTGGCCACAATTTGGTGTCTGCATGTTAAGAAGCTGAAAACCGATTTCATTTTTGGTTGAGAACCACTGAACATAAGTTACCTTACATTGGACTAAACAAAAACAGAACTGCACACATTTTTCTACTACACAATTACTAACTGTTTTTGAAAAGGTCAACACGGTTTTGGACAGTGCTGGACAAGTCGACATTGTCTACTCTGATTTCACAAAAGCTTTTGACAGTGTTTCTCAACATTTCCTTCTGCACAAAATCACATCATTTTGTATTTATTTTAAACTTCATAATTGGTTCACTGTTTATCTTTCGAATAGACAACAAAGGGTTGTTGTCGAAGGGGCCCACTCCGAATGGTTACCAGTCACCTCGAGTGTGCCATAAGGCTCAATACTGGGTCCTCAGCTCTTTCTCCTAGCACTTTTCAAAATTCCATGTTAGCTTATTTGCTGACGAATTTAAGGTCTATTTTCAACCCCTTGGTCAGATGGAGTCAAGTCCGGGGTCTCTCCTTCAATCCTGCCAAGTGTCAGATCATTACTATTAGCAGATCTAAGAAAGCTGTTAAGTTATTGCATGAATGGCCTGACACTTGGCAGGGCTAGGATCTTAAATGGGACAATCATATCAGCAGGGTAGTTAAGAAAAGCAATCGAAAGCTCAGTCTTAAATAGGGACGTAGCCATGATTTTGTATGTCTCACACTGAAAAGACATGTTCAAAGGGAGATATTAATATATGATGGTTGTTCTTGAAAGACCATATATCATATATACTGTATAAAATGTATCAAGGAAAAAAGCCTAGTGCAGTGGTGGATCCAGGAATTTCAAATAGAGGAGGCCCAAGGAGGGACTTTGACAGATGGAATGTCTGTACCACCTAAGCCCACCATGGTTGGGGCTGAGGTAAGCAAATTTACGATTATGTCACCTCTAGATAGCCGGAAATGACAATCTCAGACTTTGAATGTACTTTTCTTTTTTTCTGTGATTTTTTTGTACAATTTTGAAAAATTTAGAGAGGCCAGGAAGGCTGGGCCCCCCACACCAGTTGA